TATTGATTTAAGATAATCAATTAAAAAATTATATTCAGGAACAAGACAATTATATTCTTTTTCAATTTGATCATTGCATTTTTCCGATAATGATCATGCATTCAAGGTTTTATCCAACATATCCGATAATTTTTGAATTAATTGATGATGAATTTAATTTTGTTTTTGTTTTGTATTAACATTATTTACTATTGAAGCTTTTGAATGTGAATTTTGTATTGATAATCGATTTGATGGGACTATTGATGATACACATGAACTATCATTTGTTGTTTTATTAATATTTGATCTTATTGCATTAACTAGAAGACCTTTTATTATTTTTTTCTAACAATAGATGTTTCTCCTTTTCGATAAAAAGGCCAATCATAATTAACTTCTTCACTAGTTAAAATATTTTCAAAAATAAAAAATTCTCCTGATTTGGATTGTGTTGATATTGATGATAATAACATATCTAATTGATCTTTTACATCATCATGTTTTTATCGAAAAAGAAGTTCAGATTTTTTATATGTTCTTCCAGCTAATATATGAATGAGACGTTCTCTTTATAGTCTGTCTTAAGATAATGTTTGATGATTTTTTTTTCTTCATTGTTTTGTAATTCTGAAACTTTGCTTTTGATCCTTCTATAAACAGCTTCTTGAATATGAATATTAAGTCATTGTTCAATAAGAGCACAACTTTCAAATTGATCTCGATTTATTTGTTTAATACATTGAAATACTTCAGGTGTTTTATTTTCAGTTGATATATTAAGTGAATATGTTTTTCTTTCACCATTTTTTGTTGGAATTGATATTTCTCCTCCATTAAAACTAAATTCAATTGTTGCTTTTGTTGTTGAATTTTGTTTTTTCAGTTATTTCAATAAAAGTTTGAATTGTTTTCATACATGAATCAGTTAATTTAACAAACATATGCATTTTTCCATAATTCGAACCAGAGATGTGCGGTCCACGGGATTCACCCCGCGGGCCCCACGGGGCCACGTGGCGACGGGCGGCCGGGGAAGAAAAATTTAATTACACACGGGATTAACGGGGCACGGGTATTTTCCGGCACACGGGCGGGCAGGGCGGGGAATAATTTTTTTAAATGGCACGGGTCTCGGGCGGAGCGGGTATGAAATACACGGGTTCGGGCGGGTAAACATTTTTTTTCGGGTGTGATGAAAGATCGTCAAAACTTATCACGGGATGTCCTTAGTATAGGTATGTAGTACAAAGTACATATTGATTGGTTCATTACTTTCATCCTATTATGTACAAGATTGTCTACCATTTGTTTGTTTCTTTCTTTATCGTCTGTCATACGCAACTTCTACTATCAATTTATATTAAGTGAATAACTGGACAAAAACTTATTTTATATGTAGAATTATCGTTTGAATTTTTTTGTGAATTACTACTTAGGTCTGACCAAAAGTTCTGACAACATTATATAAAAATACAAAGATAAGGAGGTATCTTAAATTTTATTTTATCAAATTTTGAGGACAGTTGCCATGATTATTTATACCAAGTTTGATCCTTTCCAACGATTAGTTAAAAGTTTTTTGAAGTTTTTTCGAAAAAATTTTTAGGTATCATGGATACCGCATGAGCTAATCATATTTCATTTATTGTGAAAAGTTAGCAAAATCTTGTTCGATCATGTCAGTTGCATTTTAGTACTGCTAGTGATGAGATATAGATTTATTTTAGATAGGTTAGTCATAAGTTATCCGATGCTGGCTGGCTTATTGAAGATGAATCGTCAAAGACTATTGTTCATGAATAAAGATTTTAGAAAATGCTTTGTTTGGTATATTCTTTAAATCAAATACTCCTGAATGTAGATAAAGGCAAGACTGTAAGTCACAAGTATTATACTGAAAACTCTCCAAAACATTTTATTAATGAAATATGGAAACAAACAGAGACATCAGGTTCAAAATGTACAAAATTGCTTGACGGTCATCGTTGACTTCATACTCGTCTAATGTTATTAATTGCATCACAGAAGAAGGCATCAACATAATATCATATCTATCATATTCGCCAGGTCTGATACTATGTAACTTTTCGCTAACTAATTCTATCAAATATATTTTAACTGATTAAATAAATGAAACATGATAAGCTCGTGCGATATCTAAAAATTTTTTCGAAAAAAACTTTTAACAAATTGTTGGAAAGGATCAAACTTGGTACAAATAATCATGGCAACTGTCCTCAAAATTTGATAAAATAAAATTAAAGATACCTCCTTATCTTTATATTTTTATATGATGTTGCCAGAACTTCTGGTCAGACCTAAGTATGATCGAATTACATGATTTATCTCCTGATGAATCACTTGATAGGACAGCTTCGTCGAATACTGATCGTTCATCTACAATTATTTCTTCATCTCTCAGTCATTGCTCATCGAGTAATATTAAATGTAATTCGTCAAATATAAAAATGTTTTTAAAAGAACAACCAGAAAAATACGTGCTTGTCGACAATCATAAAGTGAATCATTCAAAACCATCTCATATAGACTTGAGTTTTGTTTTTGTAAAAAAATGATTATTCATAAAAGGAATGCATCATTAAAAATAAAGTATTTGGTAAATAAAAAATTTCTTCGGGTTACACAGGGACAGGTCGGGAGCCGTCACAAAAATGGCGGGTCGGGCGGGCCGGTTCAAGAAGCTGTCTGTGCGGGGTACGGGCGAAGCGGGTATAGATTTGCCGGGGCACAGGCGGGGCGGGGATTCTCAAAAAGAATATCCACGGGGTTCGGACGGGACGGGTTTGTGAATTTTACGAAGCGGGCCCCGCGGGGCATGGAAAATCAATGCCCCGCACATCTCTGGTTTGAACATGCTGTCTTCTCATTGAATGAAAATCTTTGATTTTCAGGAAGATTTTATTTCATTCATCTTTTTTTTATCTCTTGTTAAGTTATTATAAGCAACTTTTCTTATCAGTCTGTAAAGTACAGTATCTGCCTTGTCTTTACACAGCGTGAAAATATGACCCGTAGAGAATCAGGATATGTAAAGACAAGACAGATGGGGTGTGGGTACGATCCTAAATAAAGTCCACACCCACACCTACACCTGCAACCCACACCCACACCCACCCACAACCACATCCCTCATTAATATCAAAACACAATTTATGGATGTATGTATCGCTGGCACCTTCACTATAGCATTAATAATATTTGTCTGTAAAAGACTCAAATCGTACAGGAGTATTTAATGAAGCAGAGTTGAATAAATAGTGACAAAATAAAACAAGCAAATAAGCTACGTTCTTGTTTTTACTTTCAAGATGAATGCAAAGAGAGAGTTTGTATATGTTGTGGCCGAAACTGGAATTCAGCCTGATTCGGAATTCGTCCAGCCGAAATTGGAATTCTAACCTCGTCTGGACTAAAGTGGAATTCTAAGTTCGGCTAAACTGATTATGGACGAAATTAGAATTATTTTTTAATGTATATTAAACGGTAAAAGATGAATAAAAAATATTCATAAATTTGTTTGTGACGGTGAGAGTGTGAAAAGAGCTAACGCATCTTGTTCTACTAA